GGAATGACAAATGGTCCATCTGGCAGAAGAAACACCGGCTGCACTTCCCTATGGCACGGGAACTCAGAAGGCCGTGGAAGGCAGCGGGGGAGGGGGGGACATCATCTCCCCACTCTTGTAAAAGCAATTTGAGCTAAAAGGATTGCTTTTACATGAAAGCCGATCGCCGGCTGAAATCAAAACGACTCCAGGGATGATGCCAGTAGCTGTAGGCATCATCTCCTCTGCCCTATAACATTCATATCCAGTGATGTACTCAGTAATCTCTGATCATTGTTGGGTATATATGCTATGTTCTTTTTTTTTTTTTGTATGCAGCCATGCTGGACCGAATGACAAATGAGAAGAAATCGCCTGAAAAAGTGTGTGGTATGCCCACCATTAGAATATTGCCCCTGCATCCACCCACTATCTATACACATTAGGTCACACTTTGCCACAAGCCAGTTCCAAGATTGAACAAATGTCTAAATAGTGGCACGCTTGAATAAAAATTGTCCACGTATAGAGTTGGTATATGGAGAAATGATGACACCAAGTCCCAAACTCTCTTGCCACTGCTCCCCATGTAGTCTGGGCTATGGTCCAGCGAGGCTAGTAAATCCGAAAACTTATAAGTATAGCCTGCATTCCCTCACAGGTTTCTACATCTTGATGGCACGCTTGGGGGAGAAATTGTTTGAATGCAAGGCGAGAAAAATTAATGAGGGGACTCCTCACGCAGATGTTTTGCTGGGGAATAGGCATCTGCAATTTTAGGTTAAGGGGGCGAGGGGCTGAATTTTGTTTCTTGGAGCTCCAAATTTCAGGGTTACCCGAATGCAAAGTGTATTGTCGCTGACATGCATAAAACACATTATACTCTCACATCTATGCCTTGGCCCATGGCAGCATGAACACAGCATATGATGAATCAGGTGTCGCTGACCAATACAACCACACTTCATTTCTTTTAGTATGCCCAGTTGAGGGTTAGGCCCAAGGCATCATCCTGGTAAATTTGAAAACCGTTCAATGAGTTTCCATGCGATGGTACCAGTACATCTCTGAATTTGGGTTGGCGGCATAAATATGCTATGTGTGCTTATTTGCTTTGATCCACAATGCAACGCCACAGATATTCCGTGATGAAAAATGAACCAAAAGTAGCGTGGCAAAAATGATGTAATAACCGGCCTGTGACCCGGCGGCGTGACACCCGCTGCGTGACACCCTCTGCGGAGAGTCATCAATATTAGGGTGCTAACAGGCGCACGCCCCACTACCGGTTTTGTGCAAATCCAAGTGTGATCGTTTTGACTCTGCGCTTGCTGGGGGAAAGGGGGGGTGGTTTACACGCAGGTGTTGGCAGGTGCCCGGGGGGCTGATCCGCTATACGCCCATTTTTGGGGACGCTATACTAATGTGAACGCTGGTATAGTGCTGATCTGATGCCCGTTCAGACATGGCAATGGAGGGTTTATTGGGCATGCTCCTGGCAAGGGGTTAAATGTGATGATGGTGTACTGACGGGCAATCTGACGCAATCTGGGAGGGGTGTGTGAAAACCACGGCGCGAATCACGTATATATAAATATAATGTGATTTTGCGTACCCAGTGCCGCCCCTGTAGCAGTATTTCTTGTAGGGTGGTCAGGAAGCGTTTACAGAAGAGGTTTGTGTCCATGGCGGCTGCGACTTTAACTGCAATTGCACGGTCTGCAACACTCCAATTAAAATTTACATCCTTTTTTCCCACATCACTTTCGGTGGTATTTGATCGCCCTGTGCAAATTTTTGCATAAAAAAAGGCGTCGAAAAAAAACCATGGACTTTTTGCTATAAGCAACATGTCCAGTAAAAAAAATTAAAAAAAATCTAATTTTGTCACAAAATTTCATCCACTGCGACATGTCTTTGCTAGAGCAAAAAATCCCCAATACGTGAGGTTTACATGAAAGTTTAGTGTCTCCAAATGGCGGGAAGGGAAAGATTAACTGGAATTTTTATTTTTTTTTTATACTAATAATGTCGGCGAATCATGCTTCTATGTCACGGCGATCAGGCAATGGCAGGACTGCGACAGACAATTTTGACACTGGGGGGGAACTGACTTGGCGGTTGCACCAGTGAGTGAAAAAAAAAACCCACTGACACTACTTGGCCTGGGGGGAGGAAGGGGTTAACATTTTTTTTACTGAAAGGGTTAGGGGAGTGTTTTTACTAGTTTGTGTGGAGGGGGGGGGGATTATGGCTGATCGAGGGAGAGAAACTTACTTGTTTTTCAGCTTGTCAGGGAACTGACAGATAGCAGGGCTGTGGTAAGTAAACCCAGCCCTGCTCTCTGTCAGTGATCACCGCGAAAAAAGCGACTCCCGGGGAAGGAAAAACCGGCCGTGACCCGGCGGCTGACACCCGCTACACCCGCGGGGGGATAGGTTAGGGCAGGCGCGCGCCCCCTACCTGTTTTGAGCAAAAACTACGTTTTAAGAACGTGGTTTCTTCCTGCCCGTGCCGCCCTGGACCGTTTTAATTGGCTGGGCAAGTGTTCCTCCAAACTCGGTGTGTGGCCTTCAGATTAGAACAGTGCGTAGAGAACTTTGGAATGGGGTTTCCATGGGAGCAGCCCTGCCCTTAACATCACCAAGTATTATAGGTCATGTGCGTGGAAAGCCGGCTGCCCAATACTGCGGGTGATATAGTGTATGTGTGTATATTATTATTAAATTATAAAAAATAAGGATTGTATTTTTAAATTAACCGCTTTCCGACCGCCCACAGAAATACTGCTACAGGGTGGCACGGGTGTACAAAATCACATAATTACTCGCTGATTTCCAACAATCTCAGACAGGGAGGAGGATTGTTTTGTTTACAAACAGTCCTCCTCCCTGTCAGCTCAGGCACACTGCGCAGCACAGCCATCGAGAGCAGTGTGCTTACAGTGAAGCCCCCTAGAAAATCACTCCCAGCACACAGTTAACCCTTTGATTGCCCCAGATGTTAACCTCTTCCTTCCCAGTGCCATTAGTACAGTGTCAGTGCTTTTTATTAGCATGATCACTGTATTGGTGTCACTGGGGATGTCAGTGACACCAAGTTAGTTCCCCCCCCGGTGTCAGAATGCCCAGTGCAGTCCCGCTATAAGTCGCTGATCGCTGCCATTACAAGTAAAAAAATTAAATAAATCCCAGTATCTATACCGCCATTTGAAAACACTATAACTTTCACGTAAACCAATTAATTTACACGTATTGGGTTTTCTTTAGCAAAGACATGGAGCAGAATACATTTTGACCTAAATTTATGACAAAATTTGATTTTTTTTTTTTTTTTTTTACGGGACATTTTAATAGTAAAAAGTCAAAAATATTGTTTTTTTCTCAAAATTGTCGGACTTTTTTTTTATAGTGCAAAAAAATAAAAAACGCACAGGCGATCAAATACCACCGAAAGAAAGCTCAATTTGTGGGGAAAAAAGGCGTAAATTTCATTTGGGTGCAGCGTTGCATGACCGCCCAACTGTCAGTTAAAGCAATGCAGCGCCATAAAGCAGAAAATGGTCTGGTTAGGAAGGGGGGGAAATCCTCTGGAGGGCGAGTGGTTAATATGATATTATTAGCAAAAAATAATAATAATAATATTTTGTTATTACTGTGCAGTTAGGGTCATTTCCGGCCTGACTTCCGCCTTTTCCGGTATGTGCGTTCCACGGCTGCTCAACCGCTTCCTGGTTGCTATAGTGACTCGAAGCAGGCGGACAAATGAGGTGAAGCCCCGCCTCTCCCCTGTCTGGCTCACGCCGCTTAGCTTCCTGCAACATTCCACTTGTTCGCTGACCCAGAACCAAGCACTAGAGGGCCGGTCTGGCCAAGTGAAGAAGAGAACGTGTCCTCGGTATAGGGGGGCGGCGGCCATTTTCTTTTAGCCCAGACGGCTGCTTTTGTTGACTTTCTATCTGAAAGTACAAAGTGCTGCAATCGCCGCTGGCTCGGAGTGGCGTTTTCATGACGGCACCCGTTGCAGAAGTTACGCATTGAAGGAGCAGGCAGTCTTTGTTTGTATGTGTGTGAGCACAGGAAGGTCGTCGGCCATTTTGTTGTAGCCCATAGTCTGCGTGTGGGAGGGGCTTTTAGCAATGCTGGAATCCTCCAGGTGGGTGTTGGGTGGAGAGTGTCTGCACACTGAGGAGGAGGTAATAATGTCTTCCTATTATGGGATGTGGAGAAGAGGGTCCCAGCACTTTCTGGAGTGTGGTGAATGAGGGGAGGGGGTCATGTGACCTGCATACAATGAGATGGGGGGGCAGTTAGGGCACCTCTGGTCCTATGGAGTTCCTTTCTGTTTTTGGGTGCCTCTTGTTGGCCTAGTCTGGGTTTTATATCCACCAGCTGCCCGCTGTGCGCTCATCCGGGTCCCGTGCCTGTGTGTACAGAAGACGTGAAGTGATTCCATCTAACGACTTCTGACTGCGCCGCGGTCCTTCCCTTCTGTTCACAAAACTTTGTTCATTAGGCTGGAGAAGGGTGACACGGCCATTGAGGGCGAAGGTGGAACTGCTAATGAAAGAGGGGGTACCTGAGAAAAATATTGGAGAAGAACCCCATAAAAGGGGCAAAAAAATCCTATAAGATGAGAAAGTCCATTGTGTCCCCCTCCTCCGGTGTGTCCCGCCTCAGCCTCTTAAAGTGTTACTAAACCCACATCAGTACAATCAGCCTGTATATGCAGTAAATCATGCTTGTTATACTCACTATGGAACTAAAGGCTGTTTGATCTTGTCTTCTCTGATCATCCCCTTCTTTTGCTGTCCCCAATTCATCTCCTGATAGACAAGAGCCTTGGGGGCAAGCTGCACATGCACAGTTTGGTGTATATTGCTAGACATTATTTTGTTTTGGGGGGAGGGTGCATGTGATCACAGGGCCAATCAGCACTGTCCAGAGGGTTAGGAGTCACACAGCCTCATAGGACAGTCAGAGGGGAATGACAACTCCTCCTACATGTTTTAACCAGTGCTCTGCGGGGTCCAGGGAGAGCGGATATAGTGAATGCAGGGTCCGGGTAGAGCGGATATAGTGATTGCGAGGTCTGGGGAGACGGATATAGTGAATGCAGGGTCCGGGGAGAGAGGATATAGTGAATGCGGGGTCCGGGGAGAGCGGATATAGCGAATGCGGGGTCCGGGAGAGCGGATATAGCGAATGCGGGGTCCGGGGAGAGCGGATATAGCGAATGCGGGGTCCGTGGAGAGCAACACTTTAAGCGTTTGGCTCTTCTGGGAGTGTTGGATGTCTGTTGTCAGAGCCATGCCTTGCAGTTCTGTCCTCCAACCTGTATGTCACGGCAGGACTCTGCATGGTCATAGTGGCTAGAAAATGGATCTACAGCATATGGCAGGGACACAATTGAAATTTCGTAATGAGTCGTTTGTCATAGAGATTGACAGAGGCAGGTGGAGGAGAGGGTTGGAGTCACGGGTTGATGGAGGGGAGGTAGGAGTCATGTGTTTATGGAGGGGGTGAATAGGAGACCTGAGCTAATGAGGGGGGGTAGGCATGGACTGATGATGGGGAGGTAGTAGACATGATTGATGGAGGGGAGTTAGGAGTCACAAGCTGGTTTGTGGGGAGGTAGTAGTTGCGGGCTGGTGGAGAGGAGGTAGGGCTAGGGCTTATGAAGGGGTGGGTAGGAGACATGAGCTAATGAAGAGGGGGGTAAGACATAGACTGATGATGGGGAGGTAGGAGTCACAGGTTGATGGAGGGGAGGAGGATTCACGGGTTGATGGAGGGGAGGTAGGAGTCACGGGATGATGGAGGAGGAGGCAGGAGTCACGGGTTGGTGGAGGGGGAGGCAGGAGTCACGGGTTGGTGTAGGGGGAGGCAGGAGTCACGGGTTGGTGGAGGGGGAGGCAGGAGTCACGGGTTGGTGGAGGGGGAGGCAGGCGTCACGGGTTGGTGGAGGGGGAGGCAGGAGTCACGGGTTGGAGGGGGAGGCAGGCGTCACGGGTTGGTGGAGGGGGAGGCAGGCGTCACGGGTTGGTGGAGGGGGAGGCAGGCGTCACGGGTTGGTGAGGGGGAGGCAGGCGTGGAGGGGTCACAACGGTTGGTGGAGGGGGAGGCAGGCGTCACGGGTTGGTGGAGGGGGAGGCAGGCGTCACGGGTTGGAGAAGGGGGAGAGGCAGGACAAGGGGGAGGCACGCGTCACAGGTTGGCGGAGGGGGAGGCAGGCGTCACGGGTTGGTGGAGGGGAAGCAAGGGTCACGGGTTGGTGGAGGGGAAGGTAAGGGTCACGGGTTGGTGGAGGGGAAGGTAAGGGTCACGGGTTGGTGGAGGGGAAGGTAAGGGGTCACGGGTTGGTGGAGGGGAAGGTAAGGGTCACGGGTTGGTGGAGGGGAAGGTAGGGGTCACGGGTTGGTGGAGGGGAAGGTAGGGGTCACGGGCTGGTGGAGGGGAAGGTAGGGGTCACGGGCTGGTGGAGGGGGAGGTAGGGGTCACGGGCTGGTGAAGGGGGAGGAAGGGGTCACGGGTTGGTGTAGGGGGAAGAAGGGGTCACGGGTTGGTGTAGGGGGAAGAAGGGGTCACGGGTTGGTGTAGGGGGAAGAAGGGGTCACGGGTTGGTGTAGGGGGAAGCAGGGGTCACAGGTTGGTGTAGGGGGAAGCAGGGGTCACGGGTTGGTGGAGGGGAAGCAAGGGTCACGGGTTGGTGGAGGGGAAGGTAAGGGTCACGGGTTGGTGGAGGGGAAGGTAAGGGTCACGGGTTGGTGGAGGGGAAGGTAAGGGTCACGGGTTGGTGGAGGGGAAGGTAAGGGTCACGGGTTGGTGGAGGGGAAGGTAAGGGTCACGGGTTGGTGGAGGGGAAGGTAAGGGTCACGGGTTGGTGGAGGGGAAGGTAAGGGTCACGGGTTTGGTGGAGGGGAAGGTAAGGGTTCACGGGCTGGTGGAGGGGGAGGTAGGGGTCACGGGCTGGTGGAGGGGGAGGTAGGAGTCACGGGTTGGTGTAGGGGGAAGTAGGAGTCACAGGTTTTGGAGGGGAGGTAGAGGTCACAGGCTGGTGGAGGGGGAAGTAGGAGTCATGGGTTTTTGGAGGGGAGGTAGGGGTCACAGGCTGGTGAAGGAGAGGTAGGGGTCATGAGCTGGTGGAGGGGAGGTAGGGGTCATAGGCTGGTGCAGGGGAGGTAGGGGTCATAGGCTGGTGGAGAGGAGGCAGGGGTCACGGGCTGGTGGAGGGGAGGCAGGGGTCATGGACTGGTGGAGGAGAGGTAGCAGTCATGGGTTAAGTGAGTAAAGAAGCTCTGCTCTTGCAGGGGCACCTTCTTTTTTAGGATTTTTTACTTTAATGAAATAAAAATGTCTTCTAGAGGAAAAGCTGGTATTAGATTCATGTAAGTCTTTTGTGTCTTACTCTGCAAATGTAATGGGTAGAGTTCCGGTTCTAGCGTTTTCCAAAATTAGCAATTTTCAATGTCTGTGGGAGGATATTGTTTTAGGAAGTCTTAGAAACTTAATGATTTGAGAATTTATTGATTATTTTTACAGAAGTTAGGAAAGTTGTCAAAATAGCCCTTTTAGCACTTTCCAGGAGCAAGTGTACTGGGCTGTGCCACAGAAACTATGGAGGCAAGTGTCTTCAGCATGGAGGGACACTGGTACTGATAGGGACCGGTTTATCATACCTAGAAAAAAATGTGTAGGCAATGGTCATAGCCAGGTCCAAGTGTTCAAGCAGCTGGTGGAGGACAAACCGAGCATTTGCCCCGATCTTATGTTCCTACCACCTCAGTGCCTCAACTTCCCATGTACCCAGAAAGCTCCCATTAGCTGAGTGGCATTGCTGCAGTTTGGCTTAGTTGGTTGAGCTGGTATGATATGACAGCGTGGGTACCAGGGCACCCAAGGGTGCAGAGTCTGTGAAGCCTTTCAGCTCAGGATGTCTTCTACCATTGACTGGACACCATCTCACCATGGAATATACACCTACCTGTAAAGAAGACGTTTCTTATACATTTTGGCTTCCAAAGCTTTGTAATAAGATTCAAGTTTGCCTGTCATAAAGAACATGGAAGAAACATAATGAGTAGAGAACCTCTTTAAAAGGAACCCGTTGGGAAGAAATCTTTACTAGATAATAGCTGGCACTACAAGGATTAGGTAGATACCCTCAACTTCTGGGTTGGTTGTACCGACAGACTCAAGATGTCTATAAAATGCAACTTTTGACTCTGATTAAAGTTGGTGTTTGCATATGTTCTCTACACCTTTCATCTTAGCAGCCTATGGAGTGGTGCTTATCCTGGATTTGGAGATAGATCAGGGGGCTCCAAACTTTCTAAACAAAGGCCCGGTTTACTGTCCTTTAGACATTTTAGGGGGCTGGGTTGCGAAAAGTAGAGGAAAAAAAAATTCCCCCGGCCTTCACTGGGAGTAACAACACTTCAAGCTTTTAGTTGTCAGTGGGATAAAATACCTAACGCCTGAGGTCAGTAGAAGGAGGAATAGCATCACGTTGGTGTTATTGGGAGAAATAGTTTATGTATTTATTTATTACAGGTACTTATATATCGCCGTCAATTTACGCAGCGTTTTACACCAGCCACTTTATTAGGTACACCTCTTTATTTGCTTGGTAACACAAATTGCTAATCAGCCAATCACATGGCAGCAACTCAGTTCATTTAGGCTTCTAGACATGGAGAAGACAAGTTGCTGAAGTTCAAACCAAGCATCAGAATAGGGAAGAAAGGGGATTTACGTGACTTTAAACATGGCATGGTTGTTGGTACCAGACAGGCTGGTCTGAGTATTTAAAAAACTGCTGATCTACTGGGATATTCACGCACCAACATCTCTAGGGTTTACAGAGAATGGTCCGAAAAAGAGAAAGTATCCAGTGAGCGGCAGTTGTGTGGAGGAAAATGCCTTGTTGATGTCAGAGGAGAATGAGCAGACTGGTTCCAGACGATAGAAAGGCAACAGTAACTCAAATAACCACTCGTTACAACCAAGGTATGCAGAATTCCATCTCTGAACGCACAACACGTTGAACCTTGAAGCAGATGGGCTACAGCAGCAGAAGACCACATCGGGTGCCACTCCTGTCAACTAAGAACAGGAAACGGAGGCTACAATTCACAGAGGCTCAGCAAAATTGGACAATAGAAGATTGGAAAAACTTTGCCTGGTCTGATAAGTCTGGATTTCAGCTGCGACATTCAGATGGTAGGGTCAGATTTTGACGTAAAAAACATGAAAGCATGGATCCAGCCTGCCTTGTATCAACGGTTCAGGCTGGTGGTGGTGGTGTCATGATCTGGTGGATCCATCCTGCCTTTTATCAATGGTTCAGGCTGGTAGTGGTGGTGTCATGGTGTGGTGGTGGATCCATCCTGCCTTGTATCAATGGTTCAGGCTGGTGGTGGTGGTGATGTCATGGTGTGGGGGAGATTTTCTTAGCATACTTTGGGCCCGTTAGTACCAATTGAGCATCGTTAAAAACACCACGGCTTACCTGAGTATTGTTGCTGACCATGTTTATACCTTTATGACTCCAATGTCCCCATCTTCTGATGGCTCCTTCCAGCAGGATAATGCACCATGTCACAAAGCTCAAATCATCTCCAACTGGTTTCTTGAACATGACAATGAGTTCACTGTACTCCAATGTCCTCCACAGTCACCAGATCTCCATCCAATAGAGGACCTTTGAGATGTGGTGGAATGGGAGATTCACATCATGGATGTGCAGCCAACAAATCTGCAGAAACTGCGTGATGCTATCATGTCAATATGAACCAAAACCTCTGAGGAATGTTTCCAACACCTTGTTGAATCTATGCCGTAAAGAATGGCATAAGGGAGTCCAACTCCGTACTAGCAAGGTGGACCTAATAAAGTGGCTGGTGAGTGTATATTGTACATTCACATCAGTCCCTTCTCTTGAGGAGGTTATAATCTAAGGTCCCTAACTTATATTCATTAAAAATAAACATGCTAGGGCCAATTAATCTATTAGAATGTCTTTGGAATGTGGGAGGAAACCAGAGTATCTGGAGGAGAACTACACAGGCAAAGGGAAAGCATGCAAACTCCAGGCAGGTAGTGCTGTGATTGGGATTCAAACTAACAACCCTAGTGCTGCTAGGCGGAAGTGCTAACCACTCAGCCTCTGTGCTTCCCCCATCCTTGGTGTTATGGAGAGGAATTATGCCCCATTGTTGGTGTCAGTGGGAGGATTCTGCCTCTTCATTGATGTCGGTGGGAGGAATAGTGCCCTCATACAGTGGGGATAATAGTGTCCTAGGGGTTGGATAAACGCAAGCAGAGGATCACATCTGGCCCATGGGCTGCAGTTTAGAGACCCCTGGGATGATAGAGGGAGGGGGTGGAGGGAGGTGTGCCTAAGTGCCACGTAGCAAAGGTGGTGGTTGCATGTTGCGCTCATTGCAGCTTTGGGGGTGTCTGCGGTGCACCAGAACACCGTGACAGATTATTGGTTGGTGCCAGCAAATTGAACTGCATGCTCTTGTATAGTAATGCTAATGTAGACTGGATTTTCTAGCAACAAGCACACTTTATGACTTCGTACTGCCCTGCTGATCCAGTGGTGTGCAGCGTTGACAGTATATCTCCTTTCCATAGCTCTAGATCCATAACTCCTAAAAGGAAAGAACGAAAAGAAGGTCTCTCCTTAAAATTCCACTGGTTCTGTTGACGTGGAGCCAGATTGGGTTTTTAGCTTTATTTTGCCTCTCTTAGAATCCTTTTACTTTTGAAGTTTAGCTGAGTTTATTCATTAAATGTCTTTGTGTTGCCCTTAGAGCAACCTTTCTCAACCTTTCTTATATGGAGGAACCCTCGAAATAACTTTCTGGGAATCCCAGCTAAAAATAACTATATCTACAATGCATGATACATTTGTGTGATGGTCAGTGGGAAGAACGCTCCTTACACTTATGGTCATTGGGAAGAATTAGCCCCTTACAGATAGCTGAAAAGACCAATGGTGTCAGTGGGAACTTATCTGAGAGGCAGAAATTGCTCAAGGAACCCCTGGCAACCTCTGGAGGAACTCTAGTTAGGAAACCCTGCCTTAAAGTATGTTTTGGCTACTACCAGCCCGACCTATGCCAAGTTCTATTACCTTTCCCCAAAAACACAATACATATCCAGCAGGTAAATACCAATCACCAAATCATCTCTGACCATTAATAGCTGCATTGTCTGTCTTCTCATTTTTCCTCTTTCAGTTTTTCCTCACCTAAATTTCTCTCCCACGGCCTCCTTTTCTTTTATGTTTTGCTCCCAATATGCATCTTATACTAGCCATACACTGGGTAGTTTTACAGAAGATGGGTGGCTTGCAAATTAGCTTTCAGCCACAGTCAAGTGATTGAAATTCAACCAAAGTCACCTCAGAGTCACTGGGAAAGGCTTTTTATAGCTGAATGCTATTGAGATTTGATATAAGGTGTTAGTATATGTTGTTGCAATTGTTTAAAAGCCTGTCTACGCTCCTCAGCTTGGGTGGGCTTTGGTCAAACATTCTCACTGGAGGTGTGCCAGATAAGACATCTACACGAGTCTATATTTATTTTTGCTTCTTTTTCTAGATTGTGATCGCACAGTTCAACCAAGGCAGCTCCTCTGGAAAGCAGATTACTGGAAAAGACATATAAACCACCTCCATAGAATGGAGAAGAGCAGGAGACACATGACTGAGAGGATATTGGACCTCACTCTGGAGATCATCTACCTGCTAATTGGAGAGGTGAGGAGGATTCTGGGAGGTCATATGACACCACTGCTCTCTATTAGTAAAACACAAACCTGACCAGAGAGGTGAGGAGGATTCTGGGAGGTCACATGACATCACTCATCTCTATTAATAAAAGACCTGACCGGAGAGGATTAGGAGGATTCACATGACATCACTCTTATCTCTATTAATAAAACAGACCTGACCAGAGAGGTGAGGAGGATTCTGGGAGGTCACATGACATCACTCTTACCTCCATTAATAAAACACAGACCTGACCGGAGAGGTGAGGAGCATTCTGGGAGGTCACATGACATCACTCATAACTCTTAATAAAAAGACCTGACCAGAGAGGTGAGGATTCTGGGACGTCACATGACATCACTCTCATTTCTTTTAACAAAACACAGACCTGACTGGGGAGGTGAGGAGGATTCTGGGAGGTCACATGACATCGCTCATCTCTATTAATAAAAAGACCTGACCGTAGAGGTGAGGAGGATTCTGGGAGGTCACATGACATCACTCTCATCTCTATTAATAAAACACAGACCTGACCGGAGAGGTGAGGAGGATTTTTAGAACTTTCAGTGAGAAGAAGCTACTTTGATTTACTATAGAATGCACATTATTTTCTCTGTGTAGTGATATTTATGTCTAAAATACAGGAATGCATTATAGCAAAGAAGACATCTGGTGAGCACGTGATGCCCAACAGCCTTCTCGGTATGTCACAAAGATGTAGCAGAAAACAGAGCCCAAAGATGGAGCTTCCGATTCACTCACTAATATCTGAGATAAACAACAACAAGATCCTAGAAGTCGCCCAGAAGATCATTGAGCTGCTGATGGGAGAGGTAAGCGGTGCCGGGAATTCTGGGACATTCTCCTGTAACAGACAAGGGATGTGTCTGGATGACGACTGTATCATTGTGTGTATCAGGTTCCTATACGGTGTCAGGATGTCACTGTCTATTTCTCCATGGAGGAGTGGGAGTATATAGAAGGACACAAGGATCTCTACAAGGACGTCATGATGGAGAACCGACCGCCCCTCACATCACCAGGTAAGAGGAGACTTTCATTTCTTGTAAAGGAGAGGGCACAATAATGGAGGGCTTCAGGGGGGGAATCAGCAGGGTACCGCACAGGGGGACAGCAGAGCACAATACTAGGGCCAGGAGGGCACAGTACTGGAGGGCTTCAGGGGGGTAATCAGCAGGGTACCACACGGGGACAGCAGAGCACAGTACAAGAGAGTATAGGGGGGGTCAGGAGGTAACAGTACAGGGAAGAGGTCATGAAGGCACTGTAAAAGAATGGGGGGTAGGAAGGCACATAGTACAGGAGGGACAGCAGGGTATAGTATATGGGGCAACAGGGCACAGTATGGTGGGGGTGACTGGAGGGCATAGTACGGTGGGGGTGGGAGGAGGGTGTACAGTACTGGGGTCAGTAGTATGTAGTGCAAAAGGTATTTCCTCATGCAGAGCAGCACAGGGAAGCTGCTGTATCTGTTCTGGTGCACCGATACCCATGGCCCTCATCTCTTGTCCATTCTATATGATGTCACATACAAGCGCCAGGGAATAGACAGGAGAGGAGGGCCAGGCTGGGATCGGCACAGGGCAAAGAAATATGTTGCTACCCTGTACTGCTCTGCAGTGGGAGGAGCAGCTGGTAGGGACACAAAAGTACCCTTCACCTACCTGCGATGGACAGGTAGATTGCAATGGGGATCCCTTGGGGACTAGGCTTTAGTGGAACACTGGTTGAGAAACCCTGATGATGTGTGTGTGTGTTTCCTACAGATGGATCCAGTAACAGAAATCCACAAGAGAGATGTCCCCGTCCTCTGTATTCCTGGGACTCCACACAGGAAGATCAGGAGGATCAGGTAAAGGCTACTAAGAGTCTTTGCAAGTGTGTTATTCGGTGTGTCCAGAGGCCAAGTGGATCCTAGTTAATAAGTGTTATGTATTACTTAGGGAGATTGTGTCAATAATCTGAAACCCACACAGATAGAAGATGAAATGTGTGTGAATACTGTTGTGCAGCATAAGGAGAAGCAAGTTCCTACAGGTGGAGCTATCCGCAAAAGCCCCCCACGGAGATGTCTTAGTCCTTTTAATTCCTGGAATTCTACACAGAAAAACATCACAAGATCTCCTATGAAGATCAGGTAAAGAAAAAAAAAAAGTGTTTACAGATATACTACATGATTTACCTAAAGGCCTAACAAATCTACTGTCCTTTCTGTTTTTGTCATAAAGCAGGACTGTCGGTCGAACGATAAAGCTGTAAACACAGAGCGAGCAGAAGACAAATTTTTGAGGATTGATATAAAGAAAGAGCGTGAATGTTGGTTGAATGTTGAAACGGAAGTCAAAGAGAAAGAAGAAAACAAGACTTTAAGGATTGATATGGAGAAAGAGCAGCAAGAACATCCCTTGAATATTAAAGCTAAACCCGCAGAGAGAGTACAAAACAAATTCCTAAGGATTGATCTACAGGAGGAACGTGAATGTCATTCGAACATTAATGCCGAAGTCAAAGAAAAAGAAGGAAACAATACTTTGAGGATTGAAATGCAGAAAGAGAAGCATGAACATCAGTTGAACGTCAAAGCTGAAGTCACACCGAAAGTACAAGACAAGTTTCTGAGGATTGACGTACAGAAGGATCGGGAATGTCAGTTGAGCATTAGAGCTGAAGTCGAAGAAAACAAGACTTTGAGGATTGATATGCAGAAAGAGAAACTGAATGTTAAAGCTGAAGTCACGCCGAGAGTACAAGACAAGTTTCTGAGGATTGACGTACAGAAGGATCGGGAATGTCAGTTGAACATTAAAGCTGAAATCGAAGAAGACAAGGCTTTGAGGATTGATATGCAGAAAGAAAAGCGTGATCATCAGTTGAATGTAAAAGCTGAAATCACACCGAAAGTACAAGATAAATATTTAAGGATTAATGTGCAGAAGGATCGTGAATGTCAGTTGAACGCTAAAGCTGAAGTCAAAGGAAAAGAAGAAAACAAGATTTTGAAGATTGATATTCAGAAAGAGAAGCGTGAATATCAGTTGAATACGAAAGATGAGGTCACAGGAAAAGTGGAAGACAAATTTTTAAAGATGGAAACGCAAAAGAAGCGTCCGCATGAGCATCAGTTGAACTTTAAAGCTGAAATTGCAGAGAGACAAGAAAACAAGTTTTTGAGGACTGATGTGCAGAAAGAGTGGGACGTTCCATTACAAAGATCCATTAGAAATACACCAAAGGGATGTCCCAGTCCTCTTCATCACTGGGATTCCACAAAGGAACATCAAAAGGTCCTCCGGGATGAAAAGGTAGATAAATTTGGACAGTACGCCACATGACTTGTACACAGGCCTAGTGGAACCCTAGCTCATAATCGTTTTTTGTCATTTAGGGCAAACGTTTAAAGAATATTAAAATTGAAGCAACGGACAGCGACGATGAGACGTGTTTGTGGAGAGACCCAACGTGTAAAGAGGAGGACGTTTCCACAGATGGATCCAATAACAGAAACACACCAGAGAGATGTCGAAGTCCTCTTTATTCCTGGGATTCTCCCCTGGAAAATGACAAGATCTTATCGAAATATCAGGTAGATGAAATGTCATTGGAAGCAGTGTGGTTCTTGTGCCCATCTCAAGGCCAAAATTGGAAAAAATTCTTATTGTTTCTTTGCAGGAAGAAAGGTTGTCTCAGTGTCAAGCTGGTGGTAGAGGAGCACCAGAGAAGATGTATGGGAGGGCAGGGGAACAGCAAAAAGAGGAAATTCCTTCAGAGATCGGCACAGGTATGGAGAAACGTTTTTGAATTCCTGACATTTACATCTTTATGAGCTTGTAGAATTTCCCATTATAAAACCATGAGCATTAAATAAAAAGTCCCCCCCCCCCAAACTCTATGGCTAATACAAGTGTCACCATGAAGGGTCAGGCACAGAGACCAGTAACTATAGTAGTACAGAGGCTCCCACTGACCAGTAGGTTAGGTATGCAAGCAGGTCACCCTGTTGGATGACACGGGTTCACCCGAGGTGCGGAGTCTAACGCTAACCGGTATTTACCAGAGCTTTTGCTGATGGAGATGGGTTTTGGTCATGTTAGTACCAGGTCGCTGTCCTCAAGATCGCCCCACCAGGAGGTTAAGCAAGCTGGGGTCTCATTGCAGATATAGCAGGTAGAGATTGAGCGGAAGCCTAGTCGAGGAACAAGCCATAGGTCGGTAACAAGTGGTTGCAGGTTGGGGTCAAGCAGAAGCATCGTTGAGGAACAAGTCAAAGGTCATAAGTGGTAGCTGAGATACGGACAGCAGCAGGAGTGACAAGAGCGAGAGATCGGCTGGAGAGATGCCAATAATCTGGCAAACTGGAAGTGCAGATACATGGCCTAAATCAGGAAGTTCATGGGAGGAGCAAAGGGTTCAAAGTTCAAGAGAAACAAGGTTCAAGGCAGGATCATTTAAGGTTCAAAGACACACACAGTGCTGTTAAGCCACTCCCTCTATCTCTCCTCCCAGGAGTTTGACTGACATCAGCAGGATCCTGTGAGAACAGAAAATGAGGGTAGCGGTTCTGTAGCTGAAACAGCGCTGGAGCGGTGATAGGAGTCAGGTAAGTACTCACTGTGACCCGTGCAAACTACTGGGAGTGCCGGTCGCAGTGCTAAATAAACTGCTCTGGTGATCCACTGCTTACAGCAATACTAAAGGTTCTTTTTTTTTGTTTGAAAATACCAAACATGTTATACTTGCCTACTGTGTGCAGTGGTTTTGCAAAGAGCAGCCTGGATCCTCCTCTTCTTGGTCCCTTGCAGGTGCTCCTGGCTCCTCCTTTCTGTCTGGTGCCCCCATAGTAAGCAGCTTGCTATGGGGGCACCCAGGTAGGTGTGTTCCCAAGCCATTGCTCCATGTGCCCATTCACACACACAGTCGCGGCTTGGTCCCGCCTCCTATCTCTACTCATTAGCTGACTGTTTGTGATTGACAGCAGTGGGAGACAATGGCTCCTGCTTGCTGTCTCAACCACTGACGTGGGACAGCCGATGCTGTCATGCACATTGCTGGATCGCGATGGGGTTCAGGTAAGTATTGAGGTGGCTGGGGACACTGCTGCACACAGAAGGTTTTTTACCTTTATGCATAGAATGCATGAAGATAAGAAACATTGAGCCTTTACAACCACTTTAAATGAGTGCCGGCATCTGAATGCTTATCCTAGGAAGCATAATGACTACATGATGTGAAGGCACCACACATCCAACAGCCCAGTGGATTATGACCGTGACAAGCGGCCCAATGGATGATAATGAGAAGCGGCCTCAGCCTCGGCTTCTCCTTAGCCACGCCCACTGACACAAATTTGCCCCACCCCCGGGACTTGGTCATCGAGGCCTACCTCTATCAGTAAGCCCTTGTTATGGGGCAAAACGCATCAAATACGTGGCTAAGGAGGAGCAGAGGCTGAGGACGCTTTTCACTATCATCCATTGAGGATCCAGGTAAGTGTTTAGAGATGGGGGGTTGGGTAGGACAGGTAGTGAGGTGTTTTGTGCATTAAGTAAAAAAAAACAAAACTTTAGACTTGAGAACCACTTTACCATTTCCTATTATATCCAAAATAAAAAAAAGGCAATATCGGGCTTTAAATGTTCTTTGTGTTCTTTTTAACCCTCACTGTCCTATTTTCTGCAGATGGAAGATACATGGGGTTCAATATGGATAAATGTCCCATGATCTTTCCGGACAGTGAAATGGAAGATGACGTCACAGGAGATTCTTTAGAAGAAACCCCCATTGATGCAAATCTCTATTCAATACCTCAAAGTGTGGGTCAGTCATCCGGTCCCTCTACCCATATGGGGAGTTTCCTCAGTCATTTACCTGCTGTCCCCAACCGTTCATATCGTAGAAGGGGCGAAACCTTTATGTGCTCCGAGTGCGGCGAATGTTTTACAGCCAAAGCAAAACTTTTCAAACACCAGAGAGATCACATAGTGGATAAGCCACACTCCTGTCCCGATTGCGGGAAATGCTTTGTTGAAAAGTCACATCTTGTCAATCATCAGAGGAGCCACTCGGTGGAAAAGCCCTATTCGTGTTCGATATGCGGGAAGTGTTTTGGAGAGAAAGGGCATCTGGCCAATCACGAGAAGAGCCACGCCAATGAGAAGGAGTTTTTCTGCTACGAGTGTGGCAAATGTTTTACTCAGAGAGGACACTTCAACAGACACCAAAGACTTCATACAGGGGAGAAGCCATATCCATGTCCCGAATGCGGAAAGTGTTTTCCTCACCGGGAATATCTCATTAGGCACCAGAGGGTTCATGCGGGGCAGAAGCCGTTTTCGTGTGCGGAATGTGGGAAATGTTTCACTGACAAGTACGATCTTGCCAAACATGAGAGAATTCACAGCGGCCATCGCCCGTACTCGTGCCCTGAGTGTGGAAGAAGCTTTACGCAAAAATCAAACCTAGCTAGGCATGTTAGAGTCCATGCAGACTACAACCGTATTCACGTTCTGACTGTGGGAAACGGCTCGCTAGGGGAGCCTCCGTCCTCTACCGTCTCGGTCCCAACGAAAGACGAGAGGTTCCTGTATCAGGATATGACTGCTGAGTAAGAGTACGTTCACTTTTATCTGTTTCTGTTCCTTCTATATCTGGAGGGGAAAGGAAAATTCAGCACTATGTAGGTTGCCCCCAATATGAACGCTAGTACAATGCAGCGTTGACACGGCTGCTTCTCTGCTAGAAATCAGGGTTTTTTTTTATTCCCTTTCAATCCTTTGTTTAACGTTTCCTCCAAAACCATGCTGGGAATCTGGTGGGCTCCATCGCCTGGGAAGGTTACATTATATGGCCAGAATTTATGTTGCAGCATCTCCAAAGTTCGGGTGTTTCCATTGAAGGGTAGAATGCTACAGCATTTTTCTACAATTTCCAACGGTTTGAAGAAACCCTCCAACTTAACCATGCCCCTGTGTACAAAGGCAGCTCCATAATGACATGGTTTGACCGGTTTTGCTTTGGAGGAACTCGAGTGGCCTGAACAGAGCTCTGATCTCAACCCTTCACATTTAGAATGAGTTGGAATGCCGATTGTAAGTTAGGTCTTCTTGTTGTACCGAACCTCGTGAATGGTTTGTCAGCAGAATGGGTGCAAGTCCCACAGACAGACTCCTACATCTTATGGAAAGCCTTCACGGAAGAGTGGAGACTGTCAAGAGGAAGGGGGGGGAAAGGGGTAACCCTGTATTAAATGCAAAGGTTTTGGAATGCCATGTCCAGCAAGCTTGTGTAGGTTTGATGGTCAGTTGCTTACAAACTTTGGCCATAGAGCTTATATCCTGTGGAGAGCCAAAAAAACGAGTTCCTCATGCCTATGCTACTGACTCATTTTCCAAATAACTTGGAGTTTTGGGGTGTCCCCACCCATTCTTCTTCATTGGCCTCCATCTATGATATGTTGTTTGTTTTTTGTTTTTTTTTTTTTAGCAATAGTTCTGTTTTTTTTTTTTGTTTTTGTTTTTTTTTTTTTTAGCATGAAGCTATTGCCACTGAAAATAAAGTGAATGTTTCTCCAAGTTTAAGTAAAGTGCCCCAACACTGAAATCCCCCCCCCCCTCCCCCCACAAGAACTTTAAAGGAATCTGTCATGGACAAAGCACAGAAGGTGACCATACAGCCTAATTGTACAATCTCTTTTAGATCTACCATCGACTATGTAGTATAGGGCTTGTCTGATTGGTTACAGATTGAAAGTATCGTTTAGGTCTGTCCTCATAATGGTTTTGGATTGTACAGTCAGATTGTATATTTTATAGCCAGGCTACCCTTGCTGAAGATTTAGACTTCATTCACCTTCATTTAGCCTGGATACACGAGACTCCAGTGTTTAGGTGCCGACAGACCCCCCCCCCCCCCCAGCCCTGCTGCCAGCAGCCTGTGAAACTGATGAGATGCTGCAAGCAACTGTGCCTACGAACTCCCTGGGTGCACACTGTCCTAAACATTAGTACCACTCGTGCCTTCCATCTAAACTTGGAAGTCTCATGTAGTGAGGCCATATGCATGAGGCCTAAGGCTAGGTTCACATCTATGCAGGCTGCGGTTGGTGTGTTTTTCCAGCTAGTTTTTTAAACATAGATTTTTGATGTATTTTTTACCAGTTTTGCGGGGTTTTTTTTGGGGGGGGGGGGATAAATAGGAAAGTACAGGCGTACCTCAGTTTACAAACGCCTCGGTTAACATAATTTTCAGTTTACGAATGAAATTCCATTGAAAATAATGTCTTGGTTTACAAATTTTTTTCGCAGTACGAACGGATTAATTGGTTTTCAATGCATTTACAAATTTTTTTTTTTAATCATGTCCCTGTACAGTATTTATGCCTTTAAAGTGCACTTTATAAAGAGTTTTGAACAGATAAAACTTTTTTCTGACCTCCGGAACGGATTAATTGGTTTTCAATGCATTTACCAATTTCTTTTTTAATCATGTCCCTTTATGCCTTTAAAGTGCTCTTTATAAAGTGTTTTGAACACATAAAAGACTTTTTTTTTTTTTTGGTTGTGTCGCGCTCCACCTGCTAGAAATATTTAAAGTATTTTAACCATGCATATCATGCACTACTGTGTTAAATAATAAATGATATAAATATATATTATTCCATGATTATATATAAAAAATATATAATAGAATACAAATAAAAAACTTCTGTGCTATAATTAATTATTAAACAATATTAAAAAATATATTATAAAAAAACAATGATGTAAAAACCTTAATAAATATAGAATGCTATATCGCTGATATTAGATAAACCCACCATTTAAAGTGACATATATGTGCAAAACGCAATGTGTATGTGCAAAAAATGCTAAATAAATAAATAATAATTAATAATAAGTAATAAATAATGTGAAATGAGCATAAAGATGCATGTGAAATATGATATTAGATGACAAATGATTAGTTATAAATAATCAATAACAATTCTATATAATCTGACAGTGCAAATGATATTGTGTGTGCACCTCAACTTGTGCAACCCAAAGTTCTAAATGGAGCTATGTATTTATTGTCCTTAGCTAGGCACAATGCGAATGTCCCAATTGCGACCTTTATATATTGTGACAATGTATATATTTTGCTGATAAGGTGGAAATATTACTGTCCTTCCACTGGGTGGCCTCCCAGATACTTCTGAGCTGTAAGGGCTAGGTGGATGGATACGAATATCCCTCTCGTTCTGGAGGGGTCAGACTCCTATCTCCTCTTCTCCCCTTTTGCTCCTCCAGTTTAGGCCATGTAAAAGAAGAATTCCCACATAGTGCTTTATCTTTCAAATAAGACTTTAATGTGTCTCCGATAAAATGCGCACTTACATTCTTTAAGAAAATACAGAGCGTGTTTCAAATGTGTGCCCGTGCACAATAACAGTACTCGCCGTTCCGCTGACTGATGGGTTGCACAAGTTGAGGTGCACACACAATATCATTTGCACTGTCAGATTATATAGAATTGTTATTGATTATTTATAACTAATCATTTGTCATCTAATATCATATTTCACATGCATCTTTATGCTCATTTCACATTATTACTTATTATTTATTTATTTAGCATTTTTTGCACATACACATTGCGTTTTGCACATATATGTTACTTTAAATGGTGGGTTTATCTAATATCAGCAATATAGCATTCTATATTTATTAAGGTTTTTACATCATTGTTTTTTTATAATATATTTTTTAATATTGTTTAATAATTATAGCACAGAAGTTTTTTATTTGTATTCTATTATATATTTTTTATATATATAATCATGGAATAATATATATTTATATCATTTATTATTTAACACAGTAGTGCATGATATGCATGGTTAAAATACTTTAAATATTTCTAGCAGGTGGAGCGCGACACAACCAATTATTTATTTGTCTATTACCACACAGCATTATGAGTGTGTATTTGTGTTGAGGCACCAATATTAATTTAGTTGTCAGTCAATTATTATTTATTAATATTTTTAGTTGTTCCCACTTATAAATTTTGCACATACCACTGTAGTAGCTCACAAGTACACTTTATTATTATCTAATACTTTTTTTTTTTTTTACTTTTTTCTGACCTCCGGAACGGATTAGTTGTTTTTCAATGCATTTACGAATTAATTTTTAATCATGTCCCTGTACAGTATTTATGCCTTTAAAGTGCTCTTTATAAAGAATTTTGAACACATAAAATACTTTTTTTTTTTTTTTTTTTTTACTTTTTTCTGACCTCCGGAACGGATTAGTTGGTTTTCAATGCATTTACCAATTTGTTTTTAATCATGTCCCTTTATGCCTTTAAAGTGCACTTTATAAAGTGTTTTTTGAACAGATAAAAGACTTTTTTTTACTTTTTTCTGACCTCCGGAACGGATTAAATGGTATTCAATGAATTCCTATGGGAAATCGCGTTTTGGTTTACAAATTTTTCACAATATGAAAAGTCCCGCAGAACGCATTAAATTCGTAAACTGAGGTACGCCTGAATGACAGTTCTGTTCATGTAGTGCGACTTTGTTGAGACTTTACACTCAAGTTTGTGCTCAAGTAGCATCACAGTAGTGCAGGAAAGTCACAGGTTAGGGTTAGGAGTAAACCGGATTAGCGGTAATTGTTAGGGTTCATGGTTAGCAGTCAGGGTTAGCGTTCTAAGCCTAACAATTACTGCTAACACTAACATTCAACCCTAACATTTAACCCTAGCCCTTAACCCTAACATGCAACTTTGAACTCCTAAAGGTTCCTGCGTGACTTTAATGCAACTTTGATGCTACTTGAATGCCATCGTGTGTCAAGTCACATCAAAGTTGCACTACATGAACAAAACTGTCATACTGTCCTATTAGCGAAAAAAAAAACCCCAAAAACCGCAAGACTCATTAAAAACACATACAAAATGCAACACTGTTACACGCACAATGCAATCTGCTGCAAGAAAAAAAAGGAAAAAAGTCCTTGACCCTTTCCAAAAAACGCAGCGGCTCAATCAAAACACACGGATGTGAACTAGATCCATTCCAAATAATTTTAAACGGACAGTAGTGCGTTTTCTGCAAAACAAGCTAAACTCATAGTTGTGAATCAAGGCTAAGGTCCATAAACCATTTTCTGACCTATCCATTTGCAAAATTACGTTTGCAAAAAAAGTTTTCCCTTGCAGCGGGGCTTTGCCCGTACTGCACAGGTTAACTGCTTGTTTTTTGTCTAGGGCACACTGGCAAGAAGAGATATACTTACCTGATCCTCCGATCTTCCCAGCACAAGACCAGTCTGGCACACCCCCTTCCCGGCTCCAACGGTCTTGAATTGTGGACGTGACGAAGCCCAGAGTAGGCTCCACAGACCAGGAATAGTCCACCTCTGGACTGTGGGGGGGAGTGCCATTTTCTGGTGGAACAAAGGATCAGGTGAGTATAAGCTTTCTCCTCACCACTAGATAAAATGAGCAGTTGATCCGTGCAGTGTGGACTTCCCAACACCATGGGAAAACTTTTTTGTTGCCTGGAGTTGAGCTTTAATTTGTTGGAACACAACTTGAGGCCTCATTCAGTTTAAACTGA